CGCTGCCTGTCTGACTGTTTCAAAAGAAAAAAACTATAAAATAGGCCACCTTTTCCCAAGAGGAGAGTATGTGGAGGCAACTCCTTGTGATTTGACTTCTTTGGTATAAGCATCATTAATATGTGGAACAGGCTGTCAGCTGTAGGAGGGGAGGCGGAAGGAGGACATGGTGGAAGGAAGGGGAAGAGATTAGACTCCTGGACACGGACAACAGAAAGGGGACTGACTGTGGGCCAGAGGCCTGGAGAGACGTGGAGGGGGCCAAAGGGAAGAATAGTAGGACAACTGTGAGAAAATAAACAATTAAAAAAATAGAAAAAAAGAGTCACTAATACAAAGTGGAAAGAAGTTATAAATACAAATTAAAATAATGCTTCAATTTAATTTCTCTATTGTTTACTCTTATTACCCTCAAAGCTTTATCCTCATTAATGATTCAGTGAGACAAATTGACCTTGTTTCTGGAAATGTCCAGGTTTTTTTCAGTACAGTATAAAGTTGGTTCAACTGTCATTTTCAATTTTCTGGCATGAAAATGTACCTATATTAGAGAATCACCAATACTTATAACATTTAGAAACTGTAAGATCTTGAATTCTTTCTAAATGGCCAAAATTAATGTTAAGTTACAATGAACAGAATCTCTATGCTGAAGTTACATCTTTCCCCAAACTTTCTGTTAATGAGAATTTTCATATATATACTAAAATGTTAAAATACCATCATGGACACCAGTACATGGTCCTAAATTCAATTAATTGGTGGTTTTTGTCCTATTTTCATTCTCTCTCTTTCTCTTCCTCCATATGCTCTTTCTGCCTCTGTCCCTGTCTCGTTCTTTGTTGCATACACACACACACACACACACACACACACACTCTTCTCCGCTCTCTCTCTTTTGATTTATGTGTTTTTAATGTATTCTAATTCCTGGATTATGGTTTTATCTCTAAAGAATATAGTATCTCCCTGACCAGGATGGCTCAGTTGGTTGGATATTGTTCCACAAAGAGAAAGTTCACCAGTTTAATTCCTGGCCAGGGCATTCGCCTGGGTCGCAGGTTCAGTCCCAGGTCGGGGTGCATAGGAACGGCAACCCATCACTCTATCGCAGCCCACACAGCGATATTTCTATTTTCCTTCCTTCCCCCATCTCTAAATATAAATAAATAAAATCTTAAAAAAATAAAGTATGTGGTATTATATCCATTTATAAAACATACGGTAATAAAAATATTTGTATTGTAATTACATGTTAGCTTCCCACAGGGATATTTTGCTAAAATACCCAACTGTCTGAACATGACAAGTCATGTTCACTATTAGTATTAACTCTGTTCTGCAACTGCCCAACTATGGACTATGGATTTCACCCTAAGCACTGATGCTTTAGTCTATCTCCCTATGGACAAGTTGGAGTGTCTATCACTCAGACAGAGGAATTCCTAATGGATTTTCAATGATGATTAGGGTGGTTGATGGGGCAATAAGTCTCTTAATGCCCATGTAAATGGCCTCCTTTCTAAACTATTAAGCTACGAGAAGAGTAGTTAACACTATGATAAAATAAAATTTGGGTTAATTGTCCTGAAAAAGTATTTAAATAAATCTTGGGGAGGAGGAGTATTTTTATCAGATAATTAAATGTAAAAGAGATAGGAAACCTTTATTGGAATTGTTATAGATAGTACTATGGGAGGAATTTTGTCCCCCCCGGAAAAGATTTGTTGAAGTCCTAATTCCCAGGACTTTGGAATGTGACCTTACTTTGAAATTGAGCTGTTGTAGATACAGGTAGTCAATTTAAGATGAGGTCATCCTAGAGTAGGTTTGGGCCCTTCATCTAATAAGACTGGTGTCCTTACAAGAAGAAGGAAATTTGGACACAGACATGCGCAGAGAAAAGGTGACATGTAGACATGCAGGGAGAAGATGGCCATGTGACAAGGGAGGCAGCAAAGGAAGTGATGCATCCACAACAAGGAACAGCAAGCCATTGCTGGCTGTCACCAGAAGCAAGGAGAGCAGCATGAGACAGATTCTCCCTTAGAGCCCTTCCAAGAAATCACCTGCGCTGACACCTTGATTTCAGCTTCTAGCCTTTGGAACTATATGAGGCTAAAGTTCTGTTGGTTTAAGCCAGTTTGTGGTAGTTAATTATGGCAGCTCTAGGAAATTCTCATATATAGAGATAGATAGATAGATTTACCCCCACTTATTGTGGGGGTAAAAACCCACAAGGAGTGAAGCCACAATGAGTGAACCATGATATAGTGAGGGATGACTGTATACTTCACTGGTGAGTACCCATATAGAATTTTATATGTTGTTAAAATTATGTAGGTTTAAGAGTGTAGAAAGTGTTTAAGAGCATATGAAGTGTTTATAAGAGTGTAGGAAGGGTTTATAAAGCCTTAAAATATATATAAATAATAAAATAAATATAACGCCGCTACTTCATGGATTTTCACCTGTCAAGGGGGGTCTCTGGAGCGTAACTCCCACGATAGGTGAGGGATCACTGTACACAAATAATTCAAGTTTTCTGAAACGCCTCTTTGTCCACAAGAGCAGATTCTAGGCTGAATTCGCTGGGAAGATAGTTTGTTTTCCCAGCATCACTTTCCTTCTGTAAATAGATTATTCAGCTTCATTCACTTCACTTAGGTAAGGAAGTTTCTGTCTCCATGACCTACTTGGAATTAAACACTGGGGGCAATTGCTCTTTGAGGTTTTGCCTGCTACTTCTCTCATTTATACATCTCTTTGCATGGTTTATTCCGGGAGATAATGCTGGGGATTCTATGTAATTCATGTCCAAAGCTGAGGTTTCTCCAGGGGATTTTCTCTCATTGCATCTGGCACAGTAGTAACTGCGTTTGACAACATCTGCCTTACGGCACTGCTCTGCTGCTCCATCTGACTCCTGGTTCCCACCCATGTTTTCTTCCTGCCCGCCTTCTCAGGAAGATGTTTCCACAACAGAGGTGGAGAAGAGAATCCAGCGAGGGCAAACCAGAGCTTTATTTTCCAATGCATGTGAGTCATGAACCCACCAAATGTCTCGACCTAGCTCTTACTCCAATTAGCCCAAAGATTTTTGCCTTTAACCAGTACTTGCTAAGACAGCCCTTTTTGTCTTTCAGGACTCTGAGCATTCAGAAGTCAATTCTAAATGTTTATTTTTCTATACATTCATGTATCTACTTCTCTTTAAATTTTCCTTAAATATGAAAAGAAAAATAACCATTCACAAATTTTACTGACTTTTTTTTAACCAGCAGGAAAGGATACAACCAATTTTTAGGGTATAAGCCTAAAAACGTCTCATGCACGATTCCTGCTAAAGCATGCCAATTTCGCTCCATAAGAAGTAGATACAGGGTCTGGCAGAAGTGAGGCCTGCTTGAGTGTGGTTGGTAGGGTAATAATATGGATGTAATCGTTTATAGTTTTAATTCCAACATTAATTTACCTAAAATTTCATATGGTATACTTGAGTATGATATTGTTATGTTACAGAATTACATGCTAATGATTTTGTAATAAAAAAGGGACATATTTGTGCCAAACCCTGTATTTAACAGAAAATTTTATTTCATAAAATTTTAAATAATACCTGGCTGGTGTAGCCCAGTGGATTGAATGCAGGCCTGTGAACCAAAGCATCACGGGTCTGATTCCCAGTCAGGGCACATGCCTGGGTTGCAGGCCAGGTTCCCAATATGGGGTGTGCTAAAGGCAACCACACATTAGTGTTTCACTCCCTCTCTTTCTCCCTTCCTTCCCCATCTCTCTAAAATAAATAAATAAAATCTTTTTAAAAAGTAAAAAAAAAATTTAAACCATACTTAGTTCAAGTAAATTTTATGAGTGTAGGAAGTTGCTTTAAGAGAAAATTCCAAACCTTACCAATCAAAAGATTGCTCAACTTAAATAATTGCCTAGACTAAGCAGGAAATGCAGACTATAGAATTGATTAGTGCAACTGCCATTTAAATGATTGCATACTTCAATTAAACTGTCATTGTTAGTTTGCGTTGGCTTTAAACTCTAACATTGTTTCCCAACGCCTTTCTACTTCTACTTAATTGAATACCCTGAGCCGTTATTCTCTTCTTCATAAAAGGAGGCTCTAAAAGTTCCATGCCAGACAATGCGTGAACGGCTGGTGATATTAAGTTGTCTTTAGAAGAGAAAAAAGGCAATTGCCTAAAGGAGGTATCATTAGACTTCAAAATTCATGACCCTTCTCAGCATACTTTATAACCGAGTTTCCAGAGGTGTGTATATTTCACGTTTTTGTTCGCATACAATTTGAGAAAGGAAGAATGTGCAGTAAAATAATGTGTTGTCTTTCTGTGGTTTTACAAGGAGAAACCACCTGAGGACAGCAAACGCAGGCAGGGTATTACAATGACAAATGCGCTGTGGGGCCCAGGAAGTGTCACATCCTGCTGGCATGTGTATTTGGCACTGTCGCCTGCTGCATTTCTCACTCACTGGAGATGAGCCTAAGTAACTTTTGCCTCCCCAGCTCTCCTACAAGTACAGAGCAAAAAGAAGCTGCCCCCAAACAAAAATGTCTCTTATTGTTCAAATACAAACTTCTTAGATGAGCCAGTTCAGTCCCAGAAACATTAGCCTTTGTCCAGTTGTACTTTACGGAAGCAAAGCCAACATTTGAAAATCTAGGCATATATGTATATCTAAAATCATGCTAATACACAAAGCAGGGTTCTCCCGGCAGCCCTAAATGTTTTTCCTCTCCATACTTCTGCCTGCAACCACATCCAGTCTGAGATGGGGTTACTTTCAGAGTCGCGCAGTTTCTGCCAGACAGCAAGCAGCCCATCTGGCCCCACTCTCATAATCGGGATTCAAATGAGTTCATTGCACATAGTGATTCTCTGGCCCCTTTGTCCTCTGAATTGGAGCTTCTGGCCTCTCCAGGTAACAGATCCCTTAGAGATGCTATTATATATAATGAAAAAACTTACTGTTTTCTTTAACACTTTGAGAGCATAAGGCTTCTGAGTCCCCTTCTGTTTGCATCTGTACACAATGGATGTAGCACCCCTTGAGGGGGAAAAAGACAAAAAGAAAAGGTTACGCTCTGGACATGAAATAAAAGGGAGAACTTAAAAATAAGTATGTCTTTCGGTTACCCAAATAACTGACAAGTGAACACAGTTTGCTCAGAAAAATTCCAGGTCTCTCAGTCTGCTGTCTTCTTTTCCTCCATCCCTGTGCAAGAGACAGCAGACTTAACGGCCGTTGCATTCAGTGGCTCTGGAATAAACCAGGCCCTGTGGTGAGCACAGCTTGTGGAGCCCATCCGCCCAACAGCAGGGTCCCTGAGCTTTCCTAAAAGGATGTGTCTGGGGTAAAACATGGCACAGTGGCTTCAGTGAGAGGGTTTGAGTTTGGCACTCAGTTATATGGGTCAAGGCAGTCTCCACTACTCTGCAAGGCAGCTGGGAGCCCTTGAGAATTGATGCCATTTAGTGCCCAGAGCCAGTGTTAGTTCCATAGATATTCTGACCCCTTCATCTTGGTGAAAACTTCTACCAGTTACTTCACATGCCCCAACAAAAAGAATTATGTAAAATGTTCAGGAATAAACATTATAAAATGGTTAAAGATACATAGGAAAAAAGTAGATCTCTCTATAAAAAGGCTTGAAGATGTACAGAATAGTTTTTACCTGTAAAGGAGAATGGTAGAAAGGGACTCAATACTTAGTTTCATGTATGTGCAGAGTTACCAAAAAGAGAATATTAAAAGGCAGGTCACCGTGGTCCCGATGCTCCCTCTCCACACACGGGGGCACGAGAAGAAGACAGACAAAAAGAGACTCACAGACCAACAGGCTTAAGTCTCAACTTCGAGGACATCTTAAAAGAAGATCAAAGTAAATCTGAGACTTTGAAGATTAAGTCAAAGGACTTCTTATGATATATTCAGACCCATATTTTTGATATTTTAAGCACAAAAGAATAATGTAAGTCAAAATATTCCCAGAGAGCCTACACACAACACATCTTTAACACAGCCAGCAACTGATGTTGTAAATGCTAATGGATTTTAACATTTCAACATATTTTTAAAAACTTTTGTAAGATATAACATACATAAATATTCTAGAAATGGAGTAAATGGAGGTAAATACATAATTGATCTTCATTAATTGCTCTAAAAGACAACTACCTAAAACCAAAATATTAACAATGCATGTGTGTATAGAATATGTAATAGTAACATATGTGACAACCAGAGCATGAAGAATGGGGGAAATAGGGAAAACACTATTAAGGTTTTATATTATGTGGTAGGTATTATATTATTTTAAAGTAAATTGGTTGATCAAAGATGTATATTCTTTAGCCTAAAGAAATAAGTAAAATTATTTTTTAATTAATAATAAATCAGCAGGAGCTAAAATAGAAAATCAAAAATGAAATGCAAAGGAGGAAAAACAAATTAAAAATAAAACAGCTAACCATATATGGTGGGTTTCAATCCAATCATATTAATAAATATATTAAATATAAACTCTATAAACACATCAATTAAAAATAGATAGATTGGATTGAAAAACCAAGAACAAACTATATACTGAAACACATTTTAAATATAAAGGCATAAATAGGTTAAAAATTAAATCGTAGGAAAGAGATACTGTGCAAACCCTGATCAAAAGAAAGTAGAAATAGCTATATTAATATTAGGTTACCTAGACTTCAGAACAAGGATAAAGTGAGACATTACTTATAAAAGGGTTAATTCCCCCAAATGACAGAACAAATATAACTGTGTACATATCTAACAATAGCACTCAAAATACATGAAGCAAAAACTGATAGAAGTAAAAGGAGACATGGACAGACTAGTCCACAAACATAGTTGGAGACTTTAAGATACCCTATTAACAACTGACTTTAAAAAAAGTGGAAACATTTGCACTAAGAATATAGAAGACATGACCAGCACTTTCTACTAAAATAACCTAACTGACAACTTGAGAAAACTTCACATAAAAACAGCAAAGTACATATTCTCTTTAAAGTTATAGGAATCACATACTTGATTTCCAGATTTACTATAAAGCTACAGAAATCAAGAGAATGCTATGAGAGAAAAAATAAATATGAAAACAAATGGAACAGAAAAAAGAATCCAGAAATCATCTTACACATATATGGCCAATCGGTTTCTGACAAAGGTAAAAAGGCAACTCGGTGGTGAAAGGATAGTCCTTCCAACTGTAAATAATGCTGGAACAACTAGATATATACCCATATGCAAAAAAATACCCACTAAAATCTTTATATAACCTCATGCTATGCAAAAATTGCTTAAAATGGATATAAATATAAATGGAAAACCTAAAACTCCAAAGCATTTTAGCAATGATTTTTCATATATAAAACCCAAAAGCACAGTGAATAAAAGAACAAATAAATTGAATTTCATTTAAATTAAGAATATTTATTCTTTGAAAATCACAGACAAGGAGAAAATATATGCAAATCACATATCTCATAAAAAACTTGTATTCAGAATTATTTAAAAACCTGGGAGGGCAATAATAAGGAAACAAACAATGCATTTATAAGATGGGCAAAAGATTTAAACATATACATCACCAAAGAAAATATATGAATGGAAAATAAGCATAAAGATGCTCCTTACCATTAATTATGATGGAAGTGAAAATTGAAGCCTTAAAAATTAAAAAATGGATCTGCCTGTAGACCCAGCAATCTCACTTCTGGGAATATATCTGAAAGAACCCAAAATGCTAATTTGAAAGAACATAAGCACCCCTTTGTTCATTGCAGCATTATTTATAATCACCAAGGTATGGAAGCAGCCCAAGTGTCCATCGGTAGATGAGTGGATAAAACAACTTTCGACATTTATATAATAAAATACTACTTGGTCATAAAAAAATAAGAAATTTTACCCTTTGTGACAGTATGGATGGACCTGGAGAATATAGGCAGAGAAAATAGATCAGTTGTAATTGGGGGCTCAGAGATAGTGAGAGGTTTGACTACGCTTGAATATGGGAAAATTTTTTAGGATGATGCAATTTTTCTACATCTTTAATTGTGGATGTTATTTACACATATTTAAACATTGTCAAAATAAGTAGAACTATACAATAAAATAGATAAAATTTACTCTATTTATACTATAACTTAATAAAAATACAGTAAAAAAAACTTTCCAAGAAAACCATATTGCTCAAAAAAATTATATTGCTCAAAAAAACTAAAGGAAAGATGAAAAACTTTATTAGCAAATATAGCCTGTAACATTCAATTCATTCTATTTTCATTTTATGGAAACTGACAAAACTTTTTAAAAAGAAAAAGGAGAAAAGCTAAATTTCTAATTTTAATTTTACATCAATTGAAAAATTATTATTATTCATTGATTCATGTAAAGAAAAATATATTAAATAGCATCAATTCTTTATAATTTTCTCATCATATTAACTTATTAATAATTTCAATGTATAAATTATCATCTTAGCAAAACTTTAAAACTCTTTTTTAACAAGGTACACTCTTCACTGATCAACCTCAGGATACAAGTATGTTAGAATTAACTTTTTTTATGGATATGAAGAATCTACTTAAAAAGTCTAATTTTATTTTGCTAAGTAATGGACTTACTAATATTAATAGACCTTTTAATTTTTTCCAGCATTGAGATATAATTAATGTGTAACATCCTGTAATTTTAAGGTGCACAATGTAATGATTTCATATGTGTATCACAAAATGTTACCATAATAATAATAATGTTAGTTAACATATCTATCATCCTGTGACATGACAGATATGCTAACATTATTCTTTTAAAAATAACTTTTTAAAGAATAAAAAGATTAGTTAAAAGAGTAGAACAACCCAAGTAAATATATATATAAATATTATTTTAGTAGTTTTTCAAAAATATAATTTATAATCTTTGCTAAAATTGGTTGTCATAATTTATTAACATAATTTAAGAAAAATCATATTTTAGTATGTTTATATAAAATAAAATTTATTTTGCACATTAACAATTTTAATATAGAAAGAGGATGTTGTTATAATGTTGTATTCTTATTTCAAAAATAGATTATATAAAGAGAGAATCAACATAAAATTTCCTGAGATCCAAAAAAAGAAGATTATAGATTAAAGGATATTATATTCATAGAATTATTCAACTAGAAAAATAGCTTCAATATTCATGTGTATTCATTTATAACATACTATTTAACAAAAAGTCCAAGGAATGTAGAAATTAGAATTTTTTTCTCCTATTATTTGATGAGAAAAAAAATCAATACTGTTCGGGAGTCAGAGCCACACTTCCATCTTCCCACTGGTTTTCTGTAACAGAAATCTTGGAAGAATGATTTCTTAGTTCTAGCCTTGTCTAATATGGTTGCTTATAACACAAAAGGTTAAAAGCAAAAAGCTGTAAGCGTAGACTACCATGTTTCACATCAGCCGAAGAAGAAAAGCAGTCAAAGCTGTAATGTGTTTGGAAAGTCATGTGTACATGATAACTGTAACATGATGTATATGCTACTTTATATGTATATTATATGCACACACATTATAGCCCCTGTTAAGCTATTAAGAAGCACTTGATGTTGGTACGGAGCCAAACTTATGGATGAGTGGAAAAAGCTCCATGTATATTTACTTAGAGTCATTGCAGGTATAGAATCCTCTGCTACCCATTTAGGGCTACTTAGTAAAAGAAAAAAAAGGAGGAATGGGGGGCATTTTATCCCACAGTTTATTTTTACATGTTCCCCACACCCAACATTAAGGAACTATCAAATTTTTTCATCTCTCTTATAACTCAGGTTTTATTCTTTTCTTTCTTTTTTAATTCCCTCACTCCTTTATTCTCCCCTTTGTTCTCCTTTCTTGTTTTAAGGAAAGAGAGATTGGTTCATTTTTTTTTCCTCCAAAAGAAATTCAAGCATATTGATCTGTTTACCCACCAGCTGAGAGATAGATATCTGAATGCACTCAAAGTGCCAGGTGGAGAACAATTCTAAT